CCCGAAAAATCAACGATCAACTGGAGATTTGAACTAGAACTCTCTGTACAAAGTGCAGCATGAAATCAACTCATTTATAATAGTGTCACCTTGAAAAAAATTCAAAAACATCCACTGAATAAGTGTTATGCTTGTTCATACGTTAAGGGTGTTATAATGGTTCCATATCATGTAGGACCTACGGACCTACATAATATTTTAATTTCTGTATGCCGAATATTTAGTGTTAGATTCTGCCATTCGCCATTTTGAAAAGTGACGTACGATGGAGTTTTAAACAGAGCAGTGGAGGTGTTGCACTCCAGACGCTGACGTAGAAAAAAATAGGGCGTGGGAAAAAAATATGACGTAGTAGCGTTTTGAAATGAGACGATGGTTTTGCTGCTGAATGCATTATAAGTAGGCCAAAGCTACCAGAGCGGGATTATTAACTGAACATTTTATCTAGAGAAAAAAACGCACATTTTCAGTTGAAACGAAGTATTTTTCTTCTCCTGCACATTTCTCGACGTGGTGCTCTCCAAGTATTTTGGAGAACTACAGACATAATGTATTTTCTCACTCAATGGGCTCTCACAGTTGTGTGCTTTCCCATACTGAAAATAAATATGACTTCTCGAGATACGACACAGTGCCTTACGATCTTTGACATACGGTTGACCTATTACAAGTCATAATTACCCAATAGTCAGCGGGCCATATCCTTGGGTACGTGCGAGATTGGTGACGGTACACATTATGTGTGTGGGTATTGGAGCATCGCTGTTAGGGCTGTTGCCCCTAGATATTTGTTGTGACTTTTGTTATTGTTGCTATAGTTTCTAATGTCTCTAGTCTTGCTGCTGCTGCTACTGCTACTGATGTTGCTGCCACTGTTGCTACTCAAGGCAAGACATGGGTAACAGATATACGATATGCAACTGTGTTGAGCTCATCAGAACCAACGGCAGATTTGAGTACAACTATTTCCTCCTCTTTTTGTCAACATTTTCTTCCCCCTCTTTACACTCCCGCTTCATTTGCAGTGCTATCCATTTTATACGTTCTCCCTCATCCCCCCTCCCTCTGTCACTCTTTCCGCCTCATTTTTATCTGCATAGTATATATATTGTTCGTCTCCATCCTTCCACTCCTCTCCATTATTCATCCCTCTCAATTTCTTTTTGTTTTCCTATTTGTTGTTCTCAGTCTTCTTTTCTTCAGTTTTAAAACACTAAAAAATGTACTAAATCGTTTATGCATTCCCAATACAGAACAGTTTAATAGACTGATAGATCGAGACACTGAATTATCGATTGACTGATTGCCTGATGTCTTTCCACAGACCAAAGCTTGTGGATGGCTCTTCACGGACTAACGACCTTCACCTTCAACCAACTACAAGGAGGCCAGGTTTGCAGAACTTTCCACCTGTCTGCCGGCGGCTGAGAGGTATTAGGGGCAATCATGAGGCCTCTGGCGCGCCAGCACTGCGCATGCGCCGGGCTACTTGTTCTTTTCTGTCTGGACGTCCTAAGCTCAACAGTGAGGACAAGTTTAGGCCGAGGAAAGAGGGCGACGCATACTCCCAGGTCTCTGTCCTGTCGTGGAGCCAAGTGTTCCGTTTTTGAAATGACGTATTCTGTGTCTAATAGGCACGTACGCATCGATAAAAGTAAGTTGAAACACACGAAAGCGGAACGAACTTCGCAACGACAAAGAAGGTCTCTACTGAACTGGTATCACACGCGTAGACAACGACTGCTCGTAGCACAAGACGCCTTTGACTTTGATGTCAGGTCCACTGGTGAAATATCTGCAATATTATCTGATTACTACTCCACAGAGAATTGCGGTTTAGCAAACGTTAAGGACTCACTAGCTCTTAGTAGACCATCCTTTGAAGGTAGTTTAGAAATAAAAGAAAAGTCACTTATCAGAGAACCTCAGCCAGAGTCGGAGCCTGAATCGAAACATGATTTCTCAGGGAGATTACAGCCATATCTATACTCACATACACAAAGTAAAATGACTGAAACTGGATCTAGCGGTGCTAATCGTAAGGCATTCGACCCAATTGTTGCTATCTTTTCAGATAACAAACAAGACTCACAGCACCATGTTACAGAGAGATACATTTTCTCTTACTCAAGCTTACAGCACCAACGTTTTGTGGATCAACCCTCTTTGCAAAAGAATTCAAACATTGGCACAAAAAGGAGAGAACCATTTTCCTGTCTATGTGAATGTGAGAGTTTTAAAAATCAAGAAAACAGAACGAAGAAAGATTGTGGGCCCTGGGAATCGCGCAAGACGGAGAACGCGAGAGAAACCCTGGACAAGTCAAAGAAAGTCTACAAGAAATTCCGAACGGGAAGCCAAACTCCCAGACAGTGGCGAATTACACCCCATCCCTACCTAGGCAAACAGGGGGAAAATGTGGGTAAGGGGAACTGGGCTCATGAACCAATGAAGAGAGTCAATAAAAGGCGAATCACAGCTTCTTCGGCACGTCTGGGCATTCTTTTTCCGAAAGGAAGTCCCAGAAGAAGTCTTTCTTTATCAGATATCGAGGACGGAGTGGACTTTCGAACGCTTTTTTGTAAGGTTACAGTCAAAACAGTTCGCAGGTGCACAAGGTGTATATGTTATTTCTCCAGGGAAGGCGTTCACAATGACTTGGACAATGGTTGTTCTGACAAATTCACCGAAGGCATAATTGGCGCCCTGTCTGACGGTGGAAACATGTATGAAAACAATATGTCCCTCCACTCTCCGTCATTTCGCCCCTCTTTTTGTCCCTACAGAATGCACAGTAACGAACTAGAAGACAGCTTGAAAAAGTTGAGAGCATGTTCTTGCTCTGAGCAACATGAACGCAACGTAAGCAGGGATCGCTGCAACATAAAGGTCAAAGGCAAATTGTACAGTTGTAAATACTGTAACACAAGGCAAGACATGGGTAACAGATATACGATATGCAACTGTGTTGAGCTCATCAGAACCAACGGCAGATTTGAGTACAATTATTATAAGAATTCAAAAATACAAGGGAGTGATGACTATTATACAGAAAAAGATATACAAAGTAAGAAGACGCAACAGGAAACAAATTCTGATCTTTTTATTTCTCTTCCATCACTAGCAGAAATCTGCCAGCGCCTGGATCTAGACTCCGTTGTGACAAGCACCAGATCTAGAGGTCAATGGCGGGAATCTCTCTCCCAGGCCAGGTTGTCGGCGCGTTGTAGTCACGTGGCATTCCGGCGCGGGAACCAGCGGGCGACCAGAGGGTATCGATTCTCTCCGCTGCCCAAGGGTCAAGCCTGGGGTCTGTGGGAGATCTCGGCCAGGGCTGCCCGGGTGTCCGCCTCGTCCCGAGCTCGGACTCCGCTGAAGGGTGCGTCATCACGTCAGATGGAGGGGATTTTCTCTCAGTTAACCCCCAATCTGCAGGACAAGTGGTGGAGAGACCATCGAGATAGTCGGGACAAAGAAAGTTCGGCGGGTGCAGTCAAGGACAAAAGGGCCCTCGGTGTGGGTCCACGCACCAAAAGTTATGGGCTGTGTACGAACAGAAAGCGTAAACCAGTACTGTTTTCTATAGTACATGAACACAGAAATGACATCGCGGCTCCCCCAATTTGGTTCAAGTACATGAAACAGTCCAGAGTCTGTAGCGAAGGTTCCAGTGATAAACTCATCACAGAGAATAAGCCCAGAGAATGTGAACTCAATACCCTCGTTCACCATTATAGAAATGGTAGTGCGTTTTCCAGAATTTGGGCCATGGATCGGGAAATCTCAATAGTAAGTAGCAATGTATCTAATACTAGCCCGGTCACGAATAAGTCAAGTCACTGCAGATCAAAAGACCTAGTGCGTCATCTCCCCAATGACCCTCTGTTACCACTAATTTTGTTCAAGGACGAGAAAAACAACCCCACGAATATAGTGCAGACGTCTACCACAGTTCCCACCCAAAATATGACACTGTCGAGAGAATCCAGCCTCACTGCACGTCAATACCCCAACAGCTTTTATGGGGCGTCTCTGAGTCACAAGACAAAAAGAAAAAACAGCATCAAATATGAGTCTCTGGGGGAAAGACTTCGTTTTCTACACCAGACGAGGGCGTCACCGTTTGTGTTGAATGATATGAAACCAGCCCATAGCGGAAATATAGAACAGGTTAGAGGTATTTCTATCTATACAAATGAGACAGGAGGTGAAGAAAAAATGTCATACCCTCACGATGAACGAAAAGATTATCCCTCAAACAATCCTGAAAAGTCTGTCTATCACAAAAGTGAAAACGTCATGTCAGAAAAATCCATGTTCGTGGCAGACCCTCTCAATATTGATACCTCTGAAATAGTCGATGACGATTTACTAAAAAGATCTCCTGGCTCCACGGATTCAGAGCAAACCTTTGATTACGCAACCATTGGGCCCCCGCGTCGGAGGCTTCTCTCCCTTGAGGAGAACCATGCTGAAGACACACCAGACTGTCGAACGCTAAACTCACAACAAGATACCGTTCAAAACTCTTTGTCAGGAGAGGGATCAAAATTACAGACATACGCAACCGCAGAGGATCAAATACATCAAGGCCAGTTCGACTTTAAACCTGAGGGAAATGAACAAACTGCGTCTGCTAGGAAAGAACAAGACACGAAAGCTAAAGAACAAACCCGCCAAAAAAGAAGACCTACTTCTAAAAAGGCATCGTCTTGCACCACGACGGAGAAATCCGAGAGAAAACATCACGTTCTCTCACGTCACCCACGTCACGTCCACTACGACACCCAGGATGCAGAAGACGACGGGGTTCGTTTGAAGGCAGCGAAAGCTGTGTATCTTTCCGGAGCAGAGGTCCTCCGGTTCATTCCTCGTGACCCCAGCAAACGATACGCTTTGCCGAACGTGAACTTCACTGTGGAATTATGGGCCAAGCCAGAAGGCGGTCAACACCTACCGGTGACCATAGTGGGTAAGTGAAATTTGCCTTAACAGAAATTATGTAGCCTTTTGAGCCCTGACCTCCGGGGGCTACCGTGCCCATCTGTCTGAGCTCCGAGCGATATCTATTGACGTTCAAAATCATATTTCAAATCCCACACAGGGTAGTCCTTGTCAAAACCAGAATATAATTCAGAAAGATCTTTTGAAAATCAATATTATGGTCTTGTGTTGTAAACACTGTTTTCCGTACGCGGTTTGTTACAGTAACAGGTGGGCCGGGTTAGGGATAGGGTCTCGCTCACAGGTGTACCGGTGGCTAGGCATACGGACAGTTTTACGCACCACCAGTGTACCGGTGGCAAGGGTTCAAAGGGTTAAAGCGCATCGCATATTATTTGTAAGTCTGTATTTTCAATTTCGAATTGTTCTTTTTTTACGCCTCATTGGGTATAATTTAGAACACAGTTCAGACTGGCTATCAGGGCCTACCCATCCTGAGCGGAATAGAAGTTCCCAGCAAACAGACGAAGATACCCGCTAACAAAACTTCCCCAGTCGGGAACTGAGGTCATGTCTTGCGCGAAGAGTCTTACCGTTACAGGAGAGACACAGACGCCACTTCCTTTAGAAGAAAAATTATATACACGTCCCAAAACTAAATGTGCCAGGAGGTCGTCAATTTTTAGACCTGTGGTATCGTTTTAAACTTTGATCGTTTGCCTTGCTTTCGATTAAAAGAAAAACCCATATGTCTTGAATAGAAGTCGAGAATTTTGCTTATGAATGAGTTGGAGGTCTCCTGGTTTCAGGGCTAAAATTAGCGAGAAAATGGGCGCCAAAGTATTTTAAAAGTAAATAAGTTAGTTTATTCAGTGTTTAAGGCTATTGGCCCTCATCACATCATATAAACACTATTGTTAAATAAAGTTTCCATAATGAAAAAGTACAGGTTGTGCACACATCTTTTATCATGGGTCAAACATTGCATTAATGGAAGGCATTGGGTTTTTGAAAAGGCTATGACTCTTCTATTCCAATACCGTGGGAGGTTGGTGATATACTCAGCTATTTCTTGAAACGGAATTGTAAGATATACTTGCGACAGACTTTTCCCTCTATGTTCTGCACAGAATGTTCCACAAGCCTTCTTTTTACTTCGCTGTCGACAAAGTTTGGTGATTTTCACAGCTTAAAAGTTCTTGGAAACTGAAAATGTACATTCTGTGTAGCTTTAATCAACGTTTTCAGTAAAATCCACAAAGAAATGTGTTTATAAATGGACATAAAAGGTATTGAGCCAATAAACAAAACTTCGATAAAAATGGCCAAATCGGCAAAGAAATGCTGGGATTCTTCGATTTCGCTACGTTAATGAGTGTCTGATTTCATCATGATGCCTCACAAATGGTTGCCAACTTGTACGATCAATTTCTACACAAAATGGGTTCAGCATGAGTTTACTGCTCCTTTCAATTTATAAAATTCAGAGACGTGAGCGTCTATTTAATGACCAGCGTCTGTGGTGTAGAGGTTAGGCACCTCCCATTCGCACGCAGAAGGTCTGCGTTCCATGCCATTCCTGGGTTTTTTTGTTGTTTTTTTTGGAGGGGGAATTATTATCGAGTATCTCGATCTTTTTGCTGGGACATTGCATTCCTCCTATTCCGGGTTGGTCGTGACAGGCAACGTAGAAGGGCGCCTCCTGAATTATCTAAATTCTGTCGATGAGGACGTAAAACACTAAGCCTACATTACTAATTTCCCTTTACGTTCATCCCCCATGAAATCGAACTTTGTGAGTGGAGAACTCTGCGTACTTCTCATACAACCCAAGTTCCAGAACGCCCCCAAAAGGCCGCCATCATCGTAGTAAAGCTTACTTGGTAGGTTGTCGGACTCGTAAACCGAAAGGCCACGGGTTCGACCTCCCGTCAGGGTCCCGACGTTGTGTCCTTTAGAAAAGCACTTTACACGACTTTTCCTTACTTCATCCACATGGACTGGCATCTGAGGTGTGGCGGTTAGGCACTTCCCTGTGGCACGCAGGAAACATGAGTTTGATTACCGAGTTCGGGGGGGGGGGGGGGGGGAGGAATTTTTTTATCGAGTATCTCGGCATTTCTGTTTGGATGTTTTATACCTCAGCCTCAGCCTAGGTTGGCCCTTGCCAACAGGGCGGGAAGCCCATCCGCTAGATAATGTCTATGTCTTATGTCGATGGGGGCGTAAAACACCTACACTAAAAACGCAGATGTGAATGGGTGCACGGCTATAGACAGCGAAAGATCTTGTCAGTTCGAGTATGTTAGTGTTTTTAGAACCTGTCTAATGGCAGCTTGCACTGTATGTTTCACAGTACGTTGAGATAGTTTTTTGGTGTCCCTGGGTCTGCTGGGGTAATAATAAAAGCTGCACAGCGCTCAGAGCTTGTTTCCGAACGGGATAAAGTGTTATTATAATACAAGACCAACTGACCTCCCAGAAGGTTTGTCAGAGTTTGTTCACAAGAAATTTCTATACCGTTTGTCTGGGGAAGACTCCCACGCAAATCGTTAAGCTTTCAAAACTAAAAATAATGTACACAGTGGCCAACTTCGGGTGAACATTTCTTTTAAAATTTGCGTCTGGGTCTTGAAGCGGTAAGTGATATAAAAGTTTTATTCTTCTGTCAGCTGTCTTGGGGATTTGACCTGACAAGAGAGTGTCCTACTTTTGGTTTGACCTTGTCTCATGTCAATACACAGGAACCGTTTTTCTAGTCCAGAAAATGCCACCACTCAGCGTCACGTAGCCCACTTCTGAACCTTGTGTTCGGATACCCACAGAACGATGACGCAAAAAAAAAAAGCGATAAAAGAAAGCCGTCTTCTTGCGGGAATTCCCGTAACTCGATACCCCTGGTGGGAACGAGGCTTTCCAATGCTTTTGTTAGATGATGACTTATCATGGGGCGGGACAGATTCGCTGCCCTATTTATTACCGTCGACACGCCAATCTGAATTCCTGTAGGAAGAGAGATATTATGACTCTTCTGTTGTTGCAATACTATGGCGGTAAAAAAAATTGTGAGCATCATGGTGAAATCAGGCGCTCGTCAACATGATGAAACCGAAGAAATCAACATTTAACACGTCATTTTGGCAATTTTTAAAGATTTTAAAAATATTTTTGGCTCTGTACCTTTTATATCATGTCCAGTTAAAGATGTGTTATCGTGTGAATTTCTCTGAAAAACGTTAAACAAGGGCACAACAAAAAATGGTCAATTTGAGTTTCCATGGACTGTCAAGCTATAGAAGTTACACAATTTTTTTCTAGTTTATTTTACCTCTGAAACCAAGTGACCCCCATCTCCTTCAATTGTAAATGTTTCGATTTCTGTTCAAGATAGATAAGTGTTGCTTTCATCGAAAGCAGGACAAATGAACAAGCTTAACTCAACATGCTCAAGAATTGAAGAGCGCCTGATGCCACATCGTCGTGACATTATTTTATTAAGAATTTCACCTAATTTGAAAAGGTACAGGACGGGTCTGAAAGTTGCTTCTGAACCTTTATGACGACTTACGCTTCCCGTTGTGTTACAGTCGGATGCACACTGATTGCAATACTCATCGTTTCAATAGACTAATATGTGCTACTCAGAGCCAGTAATGGTATGGCTTTTAAGTCATTGGCGCTATCGTGGGTCACAGTAAGAGCGTAATGGAAAGTTCCATCGCAGCAAATACCGTAAGGGAAGGAGCGGGATCTCCAAAGTCAACGTTTATCAAAGAAAAGGTTGAAATTATTGTTCACAGAGCACTAAAATGTCCCGAAAAATCAACGATCAACTGGAGATTTGAACTAGAACTCTCTGTACAAAGTGCAGCATGAAATCAACTCATTTATAATAGTGTCACCTTGAACAAAATTCAAAAATATCAACTGAATAAGTGTTATGCTTGTTCATACGTTAAGGGTGTTATAATGGTTCCATATCATGTAGGACCTACGGACCTACATAATATTTTAATTTCTGTATGCCGAATATTTAGTGTTAGATTCTGCCATTCGCCATTTTGAAAAGTGACGTACGATGGAGTTTTAAACAGAGCAGTGGAGGTGTTGCACTCCAGACGCTGACGTAGAAAAAAATAGGGCGTGGGAAAAAAATATGACGTAGTAGAGTTTTGAAATGGGACGTTGGTTTTGCTGCTGAATGCATTATAAGTAGGCCAAAGCTACCAGAGCGGGATTATTAACTGAACATTTTATCTAGAGAAAAAAACGCACATTTTCAGTTGAAACGAAGTATTTTTCTTCTCCTGCACATTTCCCGACGTGGTACTCTCCAAGTATTTGGGAGAACTACAGACATAAAGTATTTTCTCACTCAATGGGCTCTCACAGTTGTGTGCTTTCCCATACTGAAAATAAATATGACTTCTCGAGATACGACACAGTGCCTTACGATCTTTGACATACGGTTGACCTATTACAAGTCATAATTACCCAATAGTCAGCGGGCCATATCCTTGGGTACGTGCGAGATTGGTGACTGTACACATTATGTGTGTGGGTATTGGAGCATCGCTGTTAGGGCTGTTGCCCCGGATATTTGTTGTGACTTTTGTTATTGTTGCTATAGTTTCTAATGTCACTAGTCTTGCTGCTGCTGCTACTGCTACTGATGTTTCTGCTACTGTTACTTCTCCTTCTGCTGCTATTACTGTTTTTACTGTTTCTACTGCCGCTACTGTTGCTGCCACTGTTGCTACTGTTGCAGTTGCTGCTGGTGCCTTTGTTACTGCCACTGCCGCAACAGATGACACGAAGCGACTGATGGAGGTTCTGTCTTCTTATCTGTATATCTATCTATCTATCTATCTATCTATCTATCTATCTATCTATATATCTATCTATCTATCTATCTATCTATCTATCTATCTATCTATTTGCATTTTGAAAGTAGATAAGTCATTGTGTGGTAAAAGGGTACCGTTAGCTAAATTAGCATCATGCTGAATTATGGTCTTGATGAACCTG